CGTATATATATCCCATAGGGCCTATGATAATGCTCTGTGTCCTAAGGAGCTTAAAAAATAGCCAAAGTAGACGAAGATATACATCAAAGGCTTATGAAATTCCAAAACATTAAAAAGTTTTGTTTTCAGTTAATACTAATGCTGTCATGTGGTTCTACTTCTGGTTGTCACTTTTTCAAACACCTCTTCAGGCAAGGAATTATTAAAATAAAAATGTATTCCTTGTGTTAAATCATTTGATCAATATACCGGGACATGAAATCCATCTTCTATCCTCAAGGTTAGTATTATAATAACACAACACACTTGCACCACTACAGTTGAGGATCTCTTGGCAATTCCACAGTAATCTCCCATTTTCAGGGGTTTATAAAGCCATTAAAACTTCCTTAGGTTGAATCTTGGCATATGAAAGCTCAGCCTGAAAATAGATTTTATTTGTTCCTTCTTCCACTCACTTTTCCCCTCATCGATCTCCAAGTTTGACAGGAAACACAACATACACACCCCCCCTAAGTTTTTTCTATTTTATTTTTTTAAGTTTCAGAGATACTATTAGATACCCCACTGCCCCCAAATCATCTCAGACTCTGTGATCTATTAAAATATTACCGGAATCACTCATGAAAAGGAGTTCAAAGGCCAATACTAGAAAGACAATCACCTTATCTCAAACAGTTGTATCAGTAAGAGTTTAACAAAAATCGAAAAGCAACCTCTGTCACTTCTTAAGACTGTATTATTACACAAACCATCTATATATATGATAGACACAGAAAAGTTATTTTTAAATTTCCTTATAAGGCCGGTCACCATACATGTTCTGAGAAGAAAAAAGCTCCTCAATAAAATTTCCATGATTAAAAAGAAGGGTAAACCTGCCAATCCTCCAGAGTGCACTGGGGGACAGAGCCTGGTCTTTCTATTAACCTAACCTTATGTAGCTAAAGGAGACAGTAGCTTACTTATTCAGAACAATCTCTTTTATGGGGTACTGACCAAAAGGTTGGCATCTAGAAGAATCCTGGTATATACTAGAACAACCATTACTTGAAATTTCTAGGCTAAAAAAACTAAAGCAAAATATTTATTGTTAGGCATTTCTACAATCACAGATAAAAGCTTTATGTTACAGTATAGGTGACTAGAGTGAAGCACCTAGATTACAAGTCTACAGAACTCACGTCATTACCACCAACACTCCAATTGGAACCTCGGTGTTAGTTCTTTCTATACGATACTGGAGTTGGAAAACTTAACTGGCTGTGTACCCGTCCTACGTCACTAATATATCCCACTAGCCCAACGGTATCCATTGTGGGATACAGGGAGAAAATATTAGGATGTCTATTTAATTTTTTATTAAAAAATTATTAATATACAGTGACAGTAGTCCATGTAAATATATAAATATGGGAGAGTGCTAAATTTTTACATGGAGTAAGTTATAAGAAAAGGTTGGTGGTCACTGCTCTAGTGTACCTAGTCACTTGGAGTTTCACTGTCTCGATTACACGTAATGGCTGCTTTAAGGTACAAACCACCTTCCCCTTGCAAGTCCCTCCAGTACTCTCATTCAGTTCAACCCTTCTTCCCCCTCTCCACACCAAGGTCATTGCTATCCACCCATCAGCTTCTAGCTCTTACTCAATTCCTAACATATGCCCTTGTATGTTCTACTTTTTCCTCAAGCACTCCTTTACTATCCCCCCACAATGACACCACCTCCCTTGACACCTTCTCCAATAATGTTCCTTCAACTTGTTCCTTCTCAAAAGAGCAAAAAGAGGTCTATAGAGTCCCTACTCTACACTGCTGCTTTCAGAAAAATATTCTATGACTGCCATTTATCAACATCTCTTAAAATCTATACCTGTATCTTCATTGTTACTAATGTATAGAACATTTGCACCAGGCTCCTCTTCCTCTTCCATCATCTTTGACAATTTCAGCATCCATACTGATCATCCTCTTCGACTTCCTGCAGTCAGTCTATTTAGGTCTTCAACCCCAAGGGCCTTGTCTTCAGCCACTGAAATTTAAAACTTGCCACAACTATCCTCCTCTTTGACTACAATCTTCCATCATTCTAACTCTTCCACTGCCTTGATCCAAGAGCCTCTTCAGGGTACCAAGACAACTATTCTTCTCTGCTCATTTCTTTCTCAATTCTTCACTCCCATTCCACCTGCTCTTTGAATTTGTAGAGGTCTCCAGTTTCATCAGCCTCTGCTTTCTCCTTATCAGCACCTTCTTGCTATTTCTTTCCCTCACCAAAGAGAAAACAGTAGTTCGGCATGAAGTAAAACACTCATGGTTATGTGTTTTAGCCTTTGTATTTTAGTTTTCTATCTTATTTTCCTTCTCTCTTTTTATTGCCTTCTCTGGTTTCTATTACTTTTCATTGGCAACTGCACATATAGTGGAAAAAAACTTACTTTCCTTCTACTGAAGTCCTAAAGACATTAGCAACTATGGAGTAACTTTGTCAATCTTTTTCCTTTACTATTTCCAAAAATACTTTCCTACAGTTTTACTGAATCATGTTACTTCTACAAAATTCCTTTCCTGCATATTCTAAAATCCATGACCAAAACAGACTATAAAAGGGCCATATCAATCTATCCGTAGACTAGAGTTCTACAAAACAAAGTCCTGGAGGTATATATGAAAGAAGTTAATGCTCTAGATGTATGTAGTTTAATTTTAACACCTAGGTATTGCTTTAAAAAAAGTATGAAAAAATTAATAATTATCACTTTACAAACCGGCAATAACCTATGGAAGTGGTAGTTGTGGTATGTTGGTGGGAGTGAATGCAGCAGCTGGTGCTAAGAATAACCTGTGGAAAATTCATATGGGTAACACAGAAATTTCCTCTACTAAGCAATGATCCTTTTTCTCTATCAATCATTTTTTATCCTTCTTGATATATTTGCAGTATGTTACTTACTTCCTATCCAGGCTTTCAATGACTCTCTTCCAATACTCTAAGCACCCTTGTCCCATAGCCCTATAGTTTCATCTACTTTGCAGACATCACTCTATTACTCACCTTCTCCCTGCCTGCACTCAAACTTTAAACACATTCCAACAGGCAGAGTAAACCAAAAACCAAATCCATTGCTGTCTTCCCCATAGGGTTTCCAAGCAGCAGCTGGTGAATTCAAACTGTGGACCTTTTGGTTAGCAGCCGAGCTCTTAACCACCATGCCACCAGGGTTCCAACAGGCAGAGTAGTACTCTTGTATTTTCAGTCACCAACCTCATCCAGGCACTCAGCACAGCTTAGCAATCCTACCATGCTTGTCTGGTCAACTCACTTCCCCCACATTCTGCAAAGACCAGTTATATTTTCTTCATTTTCCTTAAAACTGCTTCCAAATCTCAGTAGATGACCTTATCTACTTCACAGGGAAAACAGGTTTCAAAGAAGAACTAAATCAACTTCCTGCTACCACATCTACAAACTTACTTGTACCTGCACCCACCTTTTCCTCTTTCCCACTAGATAAAAAGAAGGTCCCTCCTCCCCACTTCTCCAGGTGATGCCACCTTTGTTCTGGATCCTATCTCTTCTTGCCCTCTTCGTAACCCTGTGATATGGATTATTTACTCCGTCTTCTTTGTTTCAGTCTCTTCCTCTCTACTGGCATCTTTTCACTGACATTTATTGAATAAAGAGATGAAAGTAAAGTATAACGTTCTTGTCACACCTTTAACACAAGTCTAACCATTTCCAACACCCCTCCAGCAAAATGCAACAAGAAAGCAACCCAACCCCCCTACAAACATTAAAAAAATCAAGCATCAAAACAAAACAATACCTCTCTCATTACTAAGAATTTGTACAATGTTCCTGACTGCAAAACTCTCGTTCCCATCCTTCACCTGGCCTAAATTCATCAATCCCGCGAGACTATAAACTCTGTGAGGGCAGGAACTTGTTTCGTTCGGTTAGCATCCCTAGTGCTTGGAACTTCACAAGTGCTCAAAAATATTTATTAAACAAACGAGCTAGGTTTTTGCATAAACGTCACTTTTTTTTTTAAGTACTTCTGTGATCTCTCCAGTCAAAACTAGGTATTTAAGCAAAAACATAAAATGTAAATATATGCTTTTCCTCTAGACCCTGTTTCCCACCCTACCTGCCACATCCCAAAAGAAGTTCCAAAGTTGAGCTCTGAACGTGTACCAGAGGAAGGAAATTGAAGCTATTCGTGCAGAGTGCAATATTATGGTTGCCATCTCAAAACAGCGCTAAGAGGCTTTGCCGTTCATGCCTTTGCAAGCTCTTGCGAACTTTTCCAATAAACATCCTTTAAAAGATGCTATGCTTTTCATTCCTCCATCGAGTTCTCAGTGCTGGGGTACAATGATACCTAAGGAGTACTTGGGCAAACGCAGGGGAGGCGGTAGGGCCCTGATTCCAAACCTATCAGATGACAGAGAAGCTGAAAAGCAATAGCAGACACTTAGAAAAGGGATGGCAATCCTTTGACCAAAGTATGAGACACCAAAGGCCTAGCACGGGGAAAGGTCCTTGACAAGAGCACCAAGCAGAAGATGAGAGACGTAGTGTGGGAGCTGTACCGAGAGGTCGCCAAAACCTTCCGAGGAAGATCCGAGATAGGGTTCCAAAGACCTAGTCCCTGGGGCCGAGTCCTCAGTCCGCGTGCACCAGCTCACAACACACTCGGAGAAAGCACAGCCCTCATTGAAACAGGAGAGCGGTCTGCTTGGGGCATGCGACTGCCCGCCAATTATGAGGTTTCCCAGTCAGGACGAGGGAAATTAAAAGTCCCCAGGGCTACTCTCCCAGCTCGCCCCTCGCGAGGATCTCGAGCCTCCCAGAGGTGGGTGGGAATGGGGTCGGTCGTCACAACTCACCGCTCCGCCCAGTAGCTCCGTCCGTTCCCGCTAGCCCCTTCCGAACCGGTCCCGGCGCCTGCCGACTCTGAGAGCCGGAAAACAAAGTTCCTGTAGCAGGGCGGAGGGGGGAACGTTTTGAAAGTGCGATAGCAGGAAGTGACGCACCCGTTTCCGGTCCGCTGGATTATGAATGACGACGAACGCCGGTATTTCCCAGACGCGTGACCTGCTGTTTCTTTCTCGGTCCCTGTAGAAGCTAGTGGTCCGCAGGAGGCGGCTCCCAGAAGCAGCCTCGGAATCCCGGCTCGGGCGGGACGGGAAAGCGCAGGCGGCCAGCGTCGCCGGCACGCTCACGCACCCTCCCTGCCTGGCCGCGCCTCTGCGACCAGGTAAAGAGGGCGCTCGGGCCGCCGGTTCCCCAGCCCTGCGACCTTTCAATGACTGCTCTTGGTGTCGTGGGTCGACGGGACTGAGGATGCGGGGGAAGGGCGGGAAGGGCGAGGGCTTGGAATCAGTGTCCCGATTTTTCTCCAGCCTTGCGGCCGCCTCGGCGTCTTTAGACACGGGATCTGGGGGTACGGGCGGAGGGCTTGGGGCTACTTCTCAGTTTTACGCGTTTCCACGTTTTCCTCGGCCCAGTCCCCATGGTTTCCTCTGCCGATGGGGAAATGGATTAGCTTCCAACTGTAGAAGGTCTGTGGGGTCGCTTGCCGTTTGCCTTTAAGTGTAGTTTCAAGACTTTCTGGATCACGCTTTAGCTTTTTCTCTTTGACACTTGGTTTTTCATTCCAGCCCTTCCTGATTGGAGAAAACAGTTGTATGTGAATACTACAAAACCGTTGCTTCAGAGGAATTGCCTCATTTTGGGCAGTTTGCTTATGTTACACCGTCAAAACAGTGTTCCTCTTCTTTTTTAACTTACATAGAAAGCTTGGGTTTAACTTGCGGGAACATTTTTTTTTTTTAAGCATGAAAGTACAAATATTCCCATCTCAATTCTCACCTGGTTTTGGAATTAGGTGACCTTTTTTTCCCCCTTCATTCTTAATGCTAGGATCTCTTAGTGCCATGATACCATCCCTTGTTTTTGAATACCAAGAGATTGCCAGCATTTAATAATATATTTTGAGATAAATTATTAATAAAGAGGGTAGTGTACTTCTATTTTTTTCCGAAGTTTTTCTATAGGAACAGTGTTTACAGGAGAAAATGCAAAAGCTGGCAAGAACTAGATATGTGACAATTTAAAACATGTGAACCTCATTTAAATATTGTGAAAATAAATTCTTTGTTAAAACAATAACTGAGTGCTTTGCTGTCATATTTAATAAATCAAACATTAAGCTATGTGATTTTTTGTTTGGTTTTTGTTTTTTAAACTCTGATGGGGCACATACACCAAGGATTGCTTTTAGCATACTCATTACTTGAAATTGTGTTGAGTTATACTCGAAGGCATCACTTTAAGATGTCTAACTTCAAAAATAAGTTAAAAAATCAAGATTTGAGAGTTGTGTGATAATTGCTTTTATTTTCTTTACACTTCTACTCCATGTAGTGTTCCTTGTAAGTTTTTAGTTTGTAGCTTTTGCATCATCACCTGCAGTTTGAAATAATAAATACTGTCCATCCAATTGGCCTTTCTAACAGCGAAGATCTAACAGACCTTGAAACTCAACAAATTAGGGGGCCAGGCAACTGAAAAGTTGATGGTGTATAGTTCCCTGCATATGTGTTGTTTTGTTTTTACCCTCAAGTATTCAAAGCATCTTAGTGAATTCTGATATGATTAGTACTTGGGATGCAGGGATTTAAACCTTTAAGATCAAAACAAGCACAGGTATTGCTTGCTGTGGGAATTCAGTAATTTTATTTCAGTCCTCCTGATGCTTCAAACATATTAGCATTCACAGTGTGGATCCCTTTTAATTATGAGGTCAGGTTTAGCTGCAAGGATTATGATTCCATGGCAACAGATGATCCCCTGATTCTCCAGAGAGAAGCTAACACATTTTCCTTATGGCTAAGGTTACTGTACGCTTTTTACTTTTAAACTTTTCTTTTTTTTTAATACTTCTTTTCCACATAAGAAAACATCTAATTTATAGGTTTTTGTCCTTTAGGACTTGACTATCCTCACGTTATGTAACGTAATGAGTTCTGAAGAAGCTCAGTTTTTTCCTTTTTCAACTTCCAGTATTTAAAGTAATTTGCTGTTATGTATATCTCTAGGGGCGAGAGTTTTTTTTTTTTTTTTTTTAAATCTGTATTATTGTAAGAATGAATGGGATTCTGCAACCAAATAATTAGTGTTGTTTTGTGGAATGTGTAAAACAGACTAAATTCTTACATTCATAATGTTGAGAGCTTGATGTAGGAGGGAATTTAAACCAGTTTAAATTTAAATTTTAATCTTCAGGAAAAATTAATTTATAAAATTTTTATACTTGTAAACTGTGTCAGACTACTTATTTTGTATAATAAAAAAGTGTACGCAGACTAAGGGTTTCACTTTTATATTCTACCGTTTGTGACTCCCTGGCTTTTAACCTGAGTAACACTTCCCCCCTTCTCCCTTCCCCCCCAAGTATTTGAAAAACAGCCTTTTTAGTTTATCATGAATCCTTACCTTTCCTGGGAAGAAGTTTGGAAATATAAAAAGCATAGTTTGGGTTTTGCCCACCAAAAGTTTGTTTCTTTTAATAGTGTTAATGGATTAGGAATTTGGGGATAAGTAATAAATGACTAATAATAGTGATGGGGTTTTCTAGTCTGTCACATGGAGTCGCTATGAGTCGAAAATTGAGTAGATGGCACAACAACTGTAATACTGAATACTTAGGGGCTTACTATGTCACAGATATTGTTCTGTTCGCATAACACACTATATGGTAGGTACTATTATCCCCGTTTTACAAATGAGGAAACTAATGCACAAAAAGGTTTTGTACAGCTACAAAGTATCATCCAGGATTTGAACCCAGTTAGTCTGGCTCAAGTCTGAGTGCTTATCCATGACTATATCTTTCTTGGTGTACATATATTCTTGTTAGGTATATAAACTTTGGTTACATCCCTAGTTCTCCTGCCTGAATGTCAATACACATCAAAACTTCTATCTATGATTTTTTTATTTAGAAGTTAGTATGGATTCCAGTTATACTTTTTCCAGTTCAGCTCACAGAGATGATTCTGTTTCTTCATTTTAATTTACACTTTGGCTGACCTTTAAAATAGATTTATTAATTTAAAAAGAATGATGTTACGAGGATTGAGGTTTATGTTGTACTGAGACAAATTCTCAGGAAGACTCTCGTTACTGTCATTACTGATACTCAGTTATGTATTTTTATTCATTCGTTGAACTAAAAGTTGTTGGAGAGACTGCAGTAAGTAAAATAGATCAAGTCCCTGTTTTCTAGGCTGTAATCTTTACGGGAGCATGTTACCAGGTTTTTCTCCTGTGGAGCCACTGGGTATGTTTGAACTGCCAGCCTTTTGGTTAGCAGCCAAGCACTTAACTGTTGCACCATCAGTGTGAAAAACCAAAAGCCAAACCCACTGCCATTGGGTTAATTCTGACTCATAGTGACCCCATAAGGTTTCCAAGGCTGTAGATCTCTATGGAAGAAGACTGCCACATCTTTATCCCGTGGAGCCACTGGTGGTTTTGAACCGCTCACCTTTTGATTTGCAGTCGATTGTTTTAACCACTGCGCCACCAGTGTGCAGTGAGTTGCAATATAAAATTTATTTTTTACTGTGTGGCATGATCGGAAAGTTTGAAAGCCTCAGATCGAAGAAGTGAGTGTGGATTGAGATGAGGGCAAAGCACTGAGCCATGGGTCACTGAAAAGTCTGAGGATCCGGTAAAGGGGATCAGGAAGTAACTGCCAGAGAACTTAATCCAGTGTTGAAAATTGCCCAGTAACCCTGCCTTCAGAATGGAGATTTTCATCAAGAATTACTGAGACCAGCACACTTGCTGAGAATAACTGTAACTGGTGATGAGTTTTGCTTTGGTGAAATTGTTGCTGCAATAAAGTTATATGCTTCAACTTATAAAATTCTGAACTTACAAAATAGTGCTATTTTATATTATAAAAATATTTTTTCTGAGTGTTTTCAAATAAGAATGGTTTGACTAATACTTTTTGTTTGATGTACAGTTCTCATCCATAAATTGGAAATAAAATGTATTTTAAGGATTGTGAGGATTAGAAGTAATGTATAAACATTCTGCATGGTCAACAAATAGTAGATGGACAACAAAATCTAATACTGTTTCAAATAATACGCTTTGTTTATTCATCTAACATTTATTATATTTCTAGCAAATTCTAGGCATAGTGATTGTCTTATTTAAAAAAAAGATCTGCATAATATTTTGCTGCAGTTATATAATTTTCTTGGCATTGTCTGTTGTGTAATATATAATTTATCAACTTATTAGGTAATATTTAGTTGCTGCAGATCCTGACTTGAACACAAAACTTTCAGAAATGCTTTTTCCATTTTATGGAGTGGTATGCTTATTTTTTTCTCATTCTGCCTCTATATATACACGGGGTGAAGTAAAACTCATAAAACTCATTTCCCTTTTCATATGTGAAATGTTTCAATTTATCAAAGTCAAGATATATTCATTAGAATGAGAATGCAGAAAAGTCTAATGCTTAAAATCTTAAACCTGTGACTAGTTCAGTCATTTAAAAATGTCTTTGAAGATTCCCAAGTAAAGAAACCAAGGCTTCAGTATTTAATTTACCTACTTCGTCCCTCTGTGGCAAGATTTTCCAAGCAAACTGGCATGTCCAGGGAGAAGATGCACACTTTACCAGCTCTGTTCAGCCCTTGAATTTTGTGGGTTTTGTCTGTTGCTTTTTCACTCCTCAGTAGCAGTTGCAATATGGCACCTATCAAATCTCAGAGAAAGAGCAAATGACACTATTGCTGTGCTTGGCAGGAGTGTAATACAGAGTAACATGAGCTGCGCCCAGAAGCCCTGGAGCCCCAGAAGATGATTCTGTAGTAGCTACCTCCTTAAAGGTCATGACACAAAATTAATGGATTATGGAATTCTGGTAGAAATGGGGAAGAAAAGAAGATGGATTTCTTTGCCTAGCATGTTCGTAAACTTTAAGCAAATACTGTGTTCTACTCTCTTGAAAAACTGAAGACACAGTGCAAGCCAAAAACATATCACATTTGTACAAGTTGTCTTAATATTTATTTTAGAAATTACATTAGTACTTAGTGGGGAAAAATTGTCCAGGGGAAGTAACTTTTTTTAAACTCCAAGATCATTAAGTCACATTTTTAATATCTCAGGAAAAGAACACCAACATCTATATTGGAGAAAAAATTATATTAAAAATCTACAGTACTTCGCATTTTCTCTCAGGCATCTCATTAATTTTTAGATATCTCCATGGGCAGGTTATTGCTATTCTATTTTGTTGACATTTAGCATTTATTAAGTGCTCACAGTGAGAAGGGTTTATAGAATATGTAAAAGCCACTTCTCAAGTTTCTTATGTTCCTTGGAAACCCTCGTGGCGTAGTGGTTAAGAGTTTGGCTGCCAACCAAAAGGTCGACAGTTCGAATCCACGAGGTGCTCCTTGGAAACCCTCTGCCCTGCTCTGTCTTACAGGGTCATTGTGAGTCGGGATCAACTTGAGGCAACGGGTTTTTTTTTTTTTTGGTTTTATGTTCCTTAGAAAGTGGCAAATATACATGTACTCTAATTTTTTGTATTTCTACATATCCTAATCCAACAAGAGCTGTAAAATACCACAGCATTGTTTTCAATTAAAAAATGTTAGCAGGACTGCCTCATAATTACTCTTGCCTAGACTGTTGGGCAATTGAGGGGATCCATCATGTTTTCTTTCAAATCTGCCTTCTTGAAGTTCGTAGGGATGTTCTTTATAATATCTTACTGTCAGAAGAGGGAATTAAGAGGATTAATAAATTAATCAGCAATAGCTTTCTAGGGGCAAACTCCTCAAAGAGACATCAATTCCTAGAAAATGTGGTTGGTTCTTTTTGCCTAGGAACTTTAATAAATCCCCTTAATATGTTTTAAAATCAGTTCTAGCTGCCAAACAAATACCCTCCCTCAGGTAATTAAACTCAGGGAGAAAATGATTTCCATGGGCTAAAAAGTTGTTACTCCTAAATTACTTGAAATAGTTTTCTCTAGCTAATCTTTTAAAGAAGTTACAGCTCATGGTGCATATCTGTTATGTTTTAATAAATACAACAAAATATTGGTAGGGTTGCTATGAGTTGAAATTGATTGGAGGGCAACAGGTTTTTTTTTTTTTTCCTAGTGATTATTTGCATTATAAAAAGGTTTCCTAAGAGTACTTTGCTAACTACATCCATTTATTATAATGGGTGATTACCTATTTAATAGAAACATTGAGGACCAAGAAGCTTAAAAAGTGTTTGACTATTGCTTTAGATTTAAAAAAAAAAAAAAAAAAATCAGGGAATTTAGAATATTAAAGGAAATTTAGTATGTTGAAAGTTCCCTAAAATTCAGGGTACACAAAATTTTCAAATACACTTAAATGCAAAAGTGATTTTCATATGCACTTTTAAAACGCTTTTAAAATAATTCCTTTAATATGCCATCTTCCTATAACGTGCTTCCATGCTGAATGCTTTTAAAGAGTGCCATCTAGTGTTAATTTTAGAGTAGCGATTTATGGATTAGAACGTGGGGAATTTTGGACCCAGGAAATGTATTAATCAAAAAAAGCCATGATACAAAGGCCTTAAGGAATATGACTTGAAAACACCCACAAATAATTAGACCTCAAGATTGTACATATTTACATCTTTAAGGTAACCAGTGTGTGTAGTAATCCATGCATTCATTCAACAAATACTATTTGTTTATATGCCGGGCCTTGGTCTAGGTATCTAAAAAAAAAAAAAAAAATTGTTGCTGTGGAGTTGATTCTGACTCATAGTGACCCTATAGGACATAGTAGAACTGCCCGGTAGGATTTCCAAGGCTGTAAATCTTTATGGAAGCAGACTGCCACATCTTTCTTCCAGAGTGGCTGGTAGGTTGGAACTGTCCACCTTTCGGTTAGCAGCAGAGTGCTTAACCACTGCGCCACCAGGGCTGTTCCATTCTACGTATAGGAATGAACAAAACAAAATTTCTCATTTCGTGGAACATTCTAACTGGAGTAGACAGATAATAAAATAAACATATAGTATAACAATGATAAATGCTATCGAGAAAAATAAAGCATAGAAGGGTTACAAAGGCTTTTTTGGGGGATTGGAGTGGGTTGGGTCTCAGTAAGAAGTAAAAATCTGAAGGAGGTAAGGGAATGGAAACATCTGTGCATGTGAAAAGGCTGTGAAGTGGGAATGTGCTTAGTGTTTTAGAGGAATAACAAGCCAGTTTGGCTGGAGCAGTATGAGACCTGAGTAGAGTTGAGATGAATCCAGACACATAATAGGATTAGATCATGGAGGGCTTTGGAGGCCACTATAAGGAGTTTGGCTCTTACTCTGAGTGTGAAGGGAGACGTTAGAGGGTTCTGAGTGGAGTATGACATGATCTAACTACTGTTTTAATAGGATCGCTTTGGCTGCTCTGTTGAAAATAGACTAGAAGTAGCTAGAACAAAAAAGGCAGAGAAACCAACTAGGTGGCAAATCCTATAGTCTGGAAGAGGCGTGGAGATAATGTGATCAGATTCTGGATATATATTGAAAGTAGCATCAACATAATTTTTTTGATGGATTGGTTATGGGGATGTGAAAGAAAAGAGTAAGGATGACTCCCAAGGTTTTTTTGGCCTGAGCGTCTGCAGGTGGGTAAGACACATGAGGAGCAGGTTTTGGGAGTGGAGGAGAATAAGGAACTTGCTTTTGGACATGTTAAGTTTGAAATAGCTATCAATATTTATGTTATGGGGAAATTCAAACATTTTCCTGTTGTGATTCACTACTCAACACCTAACCACATATTAAAGCCCACTTACTTTAGGAGAATCCATTTCTCATGAGGGAATGAATATACTCCACTGATTATTATTTTGTAGGGTCATAAAACAGAAGCCATGTGGGAGGCATGTTGATTATTCAGGGAGGCCCAACCTTGTCAAAATTTCTCAAGGCTCTTATTATTTCCAGACAACTCTTGGTATTCTTGGTTGATTTCTTCTTTCCCATTGTATTTACCTCCTCTGTTCTCACCTCCAGCGAGAAACCAAAGTACTTGATCGGGAAGTTCTATTGCAAGACAGCCGAGGAATATTTTAAAGGAGTTGGATATAAAATCACTCTAAGACATGTAAAATCACCCCAAGACTAGTTAATTGCACAGGGTCCAGATCTTTCTTTTGGAAACCATGTATCAGTCTTCAGGAACAAATTCTATAGACTGTTATCTACCACAAATTATTACTTTTAAAATGTTCATTATGTTAGTTTCTGCTTTACTATAATTTAAGGCCTATAACCACTTCAATTTATGCTTCAGGTGAACCAATGAAAGAAGAAAATGAAAGGCATTAAGAAAAGTCTTACAGAAGAATATCTCTATCTGGACTTGTCTCATCAAACAGAAGGATGCATCTTTCCTCTCCATACATCTGTAACTGTATTTTTGTTGTTGTACTGTGACTGCAAAATCTTTAAAGTTTGCTTGGTCCTCACCAGAGAAAGTACAGACATTTCCCAAATAAAAAATGTATTGCCCCAGGATGTCGAAACACAGATTATTTCAAGGGAAGAGCTTCCATCAATAGTCCAGAATTGTTGTTTACCTGCAGCGGTGGAAAGACCAGGCAATTTTTGTAGAGCAGGACTGGCTGTTGTATTAAGACACATAATTCAGAAATCATATGAAGCTGATCCCTCAAAGAAGGAAATTTTGGAACTACTGGGTTTTAAAAAGACTTGCTTGAAAGCCTGTGCTGAAGTAAGTATATTGTCTCTCCCACTGTTATTTAAACCACAGAGTGACTGATGGCACGTTCACTTGAACATTTATTTTAACTTCCTGTTGGGAACCAAATTTTCATTTATTTAAAAAACCCACAGAAACCAATGAAATAGTTAAAGTAGCCCTTCACGTGTGCCAATATTTCAATGCAGTATTGGAAAATAAGAACTTAAGATTTAATTTATGAGGTTTGGAGAAATTAGTGATATTTTTATTAGAGAGTGGCTTTTTCAACCTTTATTTTAGGTATGTTGAGGATTTTTAAAGGGAAGTTTTACATATAAACAGGAGGAGCTCAAGCAGCAGTGTGTCTGAAATGGCTTTTTTATTTCTTTTTATTTTAAAGGCTTGGGAAAGTAAATATTAATTCAGTAAAAGGATACAGGAATGCTGAACCTCCCAATGCTGAATGTTATCACTTCTGAAGCACTATAACATGTCTCTGATGTAGCATAAAAATGTAGCCCAGAGATGATTTAGCCCAAGACCTGACAAATTCTCTAAACCAGTCTTATTTCCCAACAGAAAGTACTTTTTCTTCAAGCTACGTTGGAAGTAAAGAATCCTTTCATTTCTTGTTTTATTTTGTTTTGTAGGTTAGTCAGTGGACCAGGCTTTGTGAGCTCACCATCCCTTCGGCTATTGAGAATTTCATCAGAGAGTCTTCTGAACAGCCCTCAGCAATCCCTGTAGAAATATTACAGCTAGAGAAAAAACTCAGTGAGCCTGTCAGAGTGCACAATGACGACAAACTCCGTAGGCAGAAGCTGAAGCAACAGAAGGCTGCTGGAGTTGGACTTTCCCTTGCGAAGGACAAAACAAAGAGCAAAGCCTGTAATCAGGAAGCATCTGAAGAGTTGGACTCTCCATCCAAGAGCCTGGAACTGGAAGTGGCATTCTCAAAGCTCACAGCACAGGAGGATCCAGCCTCTGCCAACAGGGAGCCTTCTCACATCAGAAAAGTGAAAGCCTCTGACCTTCCACCTCTGGAGCATGTGTTTGCAGAAGGGCTTTACTTCACATTGGCAGATATCGTGCTCTTGCCTTGTGTCCATCATTTTTTGGTAAGGTTTTATCTAGAGTGGATATATTACTGTATGGTTCAATCTATGATATTGCCTAGATTTTAATCCCAATTTCACTTCTTACTGTCATGTCTCTGTGCAGGTTATATTTCTCTGTCTCTGTTTTCTTATCTGTAAAATGGAGATAATAATAGTACCTACCAGAATAAGATCAGTGTGAGGAATAAATGACATAATTTATATAAAGTATGGGGAACAGTGCTTGGCATACAGCAAGCTCTCGATAAATGTTAGTAATTATGTCTTTTAATTTTCTGTTGCTAAAATGTTAGCAGTTATTATGATTACGAATTTCAAATTGCTCTTGTCATTACCTTCTAAAGGTAGAAGGCCCAGTATACAGAAACTAAAAAAGCTTATCAGTTATATTTTACCATTGACTGGTTCGTTAATATACCAGTCTCATTCTGTTAGGCATTATCAGATCAGAAACAGTTTATTCTCGTTCTTGTGTTTCTCTGTTCTGCATATGATTAAAGTCACTGGCTAGTCTATCCTATGCTGTGGGATAATATAGGAGGAAAGGTTTCTTTCCTGTCAGGGGCACTGTTAACTGGAAAGAATTGGGCGAAGTCTAACCTTTTAGGGTGAAGGGAACATTCAGGGGCTTTTAGGGAGGCACCTAAGTTTGAGAGAAGACTGAAAGCTAGAAAATGGATCACACTAAAGAAACCAGATAAAAAGATTGATAGTCTACCCTTTTTTCATATAACAATAGATAGCTTTTTATTTTTTCATAGACATTACTTGAAAAGAAATGAAAAAGGGACATTTCTCCTACAGAGATTTGGCTTGCTCCATACAGATTACTATTAAGATCGTGATAAAGTCCCATCTCTTTGCAGTTGCACTTCACCTTCAATATATCGGCTTAATAAAGGAGACAATGTGGTAGAGTAGAAACAGCCCTGGCCTTGGAGTAGGGTTTGAATGCTAATTCTGTAATTTATTTACTGGCTTTTTGTGACTTTGGGCTGGTTATTACAGCTCTCTAAGCCTCATTATCCTCATCTATAAAATTAAGATAATACACTTCTTAAAGACATATTGTAAGGCTCAGAAATATTATTCTTAGAAATACTATATGTAAAATGATGGATCATGGGACAATGCATGGCTCATAAGAAGGAGCTCAATAAATGGAATTTATTATAATTAATAAATCTTGAGAAAAATCACAATAGACTAGGCAAACTAAGTTAACCTTTCTCTCCTTGGTGTGGAAACATGTTCAGGGCCACAAGATTTTAGTGATGGGTTTTCTAAAAATATGTAATATGGTATATAATACATTATTATATGCACATCCATGAATATTTCCTGATGTTAATAATAAAGAATGTTTAAAGGTTGTGTTATATCACCTATGAGATTAAAATTCGTACATCAACCTCTCCATATTCCTTTGGAGAGAGATTTCTTGCAGTATGAACATTTTGATTCTTATTCCAAGGATAGAAGAGAAAATGAACTACTGAGACAGGAAAATCACTTTCAAAATGGTTTTCTTTATTTGATAACTACAATATCCTAGACAAGTGACTAATATCCTGCTATTAAAATATTGAGTGTATGAGTATATACATACAACACACATGTATGTACGTGTGTGTGTATATATGTATATGTATGTATATATATGTGTATACATATATATATAATGGAAACACAAATATATATATTTCTGTGTGAAGGAGAAAAGAACAGGGTGAAAATAGTATTAGAGTGAGCACGGGAAGCTGTAACTCTGCAGCTTTCTGATTGGTTTTCAAGAGTTACATTTTTCTTTCTCTGAAGCATTTCATCCTTTCTCCTGCTATGGATTATATTTCATCCTCATTATGTATCACCAACACTTCAGATATCTCTACTGACAGATAAGACTTCTGATGAAAATCTATATATTTGGAGGCTGGTGCTTCACTAAGTTAGGTGGTATTGACCAATTGCCATTTTATTTTATTTATTATTGTGATTTAAATGAAAGTTTATAGTTCAAGTTAGTTTCTCACACAAAAAGTTATACACACGCTGCTGTGTGACCCTAATTGCTCTGTCCCCATACTGTGACAGCACACTCCTCTCCACCCCGGGTTTCCTGTGTCCATTCAACCAGCTCTTGTCCCTTTCTGCCTTCTCATCTCTCCTCTGGACAGGAGCTGCCCATTTAGACTCATGTATCTACTTGATCTAAGAAGCACACTCTTCACAAGTATTATTTTATGTCTTATAGTCCAGTCTAATCTTTGTATGAAGAGTTGACTTTGGGAATGGTTTTAGTTTGGGGCTACCAGAGAATCCAGGGGCCATGTCTTCCAGGGTCTTTCCAGTCTCAGTCAGACCATTACGTCTGGTCTTTTTACTAGAATCTGTGTTCTGCACCCCACTTTTCTCCTGCTCCATCAGGGACCCTCTGTTGTGTTCCCTATTAGGGTGGTCATTGGTGGTAGCCAGGCACCGTCTAGTTCTTCTGGTCTCAGGCTGATAGACTCTCTAGTTTATGTGGCCCTTTTGTCTCCTGGGCTAATAATTTCCTTGTGTCTTTGGTATTCTTCGTTCTCCTTTGCTCCAGGTGGGTTGGAAGCAATTGATGCATCTTAGATGGCCGCTTGCTAGCTTTTAAGACCCTAGATGCCACTCACCAAAGTGGGATGCAGAATTTTAATAAACTTTGTTATGTTGATTGACCTAGATGTCCCCTGAAATCATGGTCCCCAGACCCCCACCCGTGCTTCTCTTTCCCTTAAAGTGTTTGATTGTATTCAGGAAACTTCTTAGCTTTTGGTTTAGTCCAGTCGTGCTGACTTCCCCTGTATTGTGTGTTGTCTTTCCCTTCACCCTTCCAATTCTTGTCTATTATCTAGTTAGTAAATACCCCTCTCCCTCCCTCCCCACCTTCATAACCATCAAAGAATGTTTTCTTCTGTGTTTAAACCTTTACTTGAATTCTTATAATAGTGGTCTTGTACAGTATTTGTCCTTATGCGACTAATTTCACTCAGTATAATGCCTTCCAGATTTATCCATGTTATGAGATGTTTCACGGATTTATCGTTATTCTTTATTGTTGCGTAATATTCCATTGTGTGAATATAATATAATTTGTTTATCCATTCATCTGTTGATGGGCACCTAGGTTGTTTCCATCTTTTTGCAATTGTGAACAGCACTGCAATGAACATGGGTGTGCGTTTATCGACAGGGAACTACCAGAAATTGAGGCCAGATTCAGAAGGGGACGTGGAACCAAGGACATCATTGCTGATGTCAGATGGATCCTGGCTGAAGGCAGAGAATATCAGAAAGGCGTTTACCTGTGTTTTATGTTTGACTACGCAAAGGCATTCAACTGTGTGGATCATAACCAATTAGGGATAACATTGCAAAGAATGGGAATTCCAGAACACTTAGTTGTGCTTATGAGGAACCTGTACATAGATCAAGAGGCAGTTGTCCAAACAGAACAATGGAATACTTTGTGATTTAAAGTCAGGAAAGGTGTGCGTCAGGGTTGTATCCTTTCACCATACCTATTCGTTGTGTATGCTGAGCAAATAGTCCGAGAAGGTGGACTATATGAAGAAGAATGGGGCATCAGGATTGGAGGAAGACTTATTAACAAGCTGCATTATGCAGATGACACAACCTTGCTTGCTGAAAGTGAAGAGGACTTTAAACACTTACTGAAGAAGATAAAAAACCACAGCCTTCAATATGGATTACACCTCAACATAAAGAAAACAAAAATCCTCACAACTAGACCAATAAGCAACATCATGATAAATGGGGAAAAGATTGACATTGTCAAGGATTTCATTTTGCTTGGATCCACAATCAACACCCATGGAAGTAGCAGTCAAGAAATCAAAAGATGCATTGCATTGGGCAAATCTGCTGCAAAAGACCTCTTTAAAGTGTTGAAAAGCAAAGATGCCACCTTGAAGACTAAGGTGCACCTGACCCAAGCTATGGTGTTTTCAATTGCCTCCTATGCATGTGAAAGCTGGACAGTGAATAAAGAAGACCAAAGAAGAATTGATGCCATTGAATTGTGGTGTTGGAGAAGAATATTGAATATACCATGGACTGCCAGAAGAATGAACAAATCTGTCCTGGAAGTAGTACAACCAGAATGCTCCTTAGAAGCCAGGATGGCGAGACTACGTCTCACATACCTTGGACATGTTGTCAGGAGGGATCAGTCCCTGGAGAAGGACATCATGCTTGGTAAAGCAGAGGGTAAATGAGATGGTTTGACACAGTGGCTGCAACAATGGGCTTAAGCATAACAATGCTTGTGGGGATGGCGCAGGACCAGGCAGTGTTTCGTTCTGTTGTATATGGGGTTGCTATGAGTCAGAGCCAGCTCGATGGCACCTAACAACAACGACAACTAGCAAACCTGTAAACTTGGTAGAACTAATTGAAAGATTATTCTATTCTTGTGTTAAGACAGAGAAGTTGCCATTTTATAAATCTTTTTGTGTTTGGATACTTACTATTTTATTTTCTATATTTTAATTTCTAATATTTTGAATTGAGTTGTCTTAAAGTATGAGACATTTTTATTATCTAAAGTAACATCATTCCTCTTTTGTAGAAAATAATTTTTGTCCAAAAATACCTATGTTAAATATCTTTCAGCATCCCCTTTGACATAAAAATAGAGATCTCACTGTTGGCTGGCATATTGAAAAAATTATGCATTCCACTTATTTAGTGATTAGTTTGTATTTTCTATGTGTTTTCCAGGAAACCCTGGTGGCGTAGTGGTTAAGAGCTATGGCTGCTAACCAAAAGGTCAGCAGTTCGAATCCACCAGGCGCTCCTTGGAAACTCTATGGGCCAGATCTGCTCCATCCTATAGGGTCACTCTGAGTTGGAATCGATTCAGCGACAACGAGGTTTTAGTTTTATATCTTTTCTATGCATCAGGCTTAAAAAGTTTTCAGTTTTAACCAGTAAGTGTATTTCATATA